GAGTCGGTTTGTGGAAAAGATTCCAAACCTCGAGAGTATCTACGAAACTTTCAGTGGTTTGGTATAAAATATACGAAACTTTGACATGGATAATAAAGTGAGAATCGTTCAGCTCAAAAAGTACGAAATCCTCGAATGTTCTACGAAACCATCAATTGTATTCCAGAAAATATTCCAAACCTTTTTACAGTTTACGGAACCAGCAATGGTTCTGTCGACATGTTACTAAACCTTAATGGTGACAAGAAAGTCTCGATAAGTTCCGCATAAATAATACGAAACCTTTGGTTCGTCCACGAAGCCAACAGTGGTTCAGTGGATATATGACGAAACCTTCTGCCATTTCCCAAAACTATCAGATGATTTGTACATGAGGTACGAAACCACAAACCACTTTACGGTGCCTTGGAAGAGTTCAGGCTCAAAATTGCGAAACCTGATGAAATCTGCTGAACTTAAAATAGCTCTGAAAGGAGACCACGGAACGTTTTTCACTCTACGGAACTTAAAATCGTTCGGTGGAGAAATGCGGAACTCTTAAGGTTCGGTAGAGTACCGAGTTTTTTAGTGTATGACAAACGGTTCTAGTTAAAATGGAGAATAATGAACTATGGATCGTAGAATAATAAACCCTTCTGATGAACTCGTATACTGGTATACCCTCAACGATATTATAATAAACGCTTTTTCAGAAGTGAAGAATAATCAACCCTTTTGATGACATCGCCTACTGGTCTGCCATCAGTGGTATTATAGTAAACGATTTTTCTGGAAATGGAGAATAATCTACCCTCATTGGTATTCTGATAAACGCTTCTACTTAAAATGGAGAATAATCAACCATTGACCGTAGAATAATAAACCCTCTTGGTAAAATCGTGTGTTGCTTTACCCTCAAACGTATTATAATAAACGCTTTTTCAGAAAGTGAAGAATAATCAACCGTTGGTCGTAGAATAATAAACCATTTTTAAGATGTCGTACAATAATCTACCCTCAACAGTATTATAATAAACGCTTCTGCCGAGAATGTAGAATAATCAACCCTTTTGATGACATCGCTCTACTGGTCTGCCATCAGCGGTATTATAGTAAATGCTTATTCTGAAAGTGGAGAATAATCAACCCCTAGCCGTAGAATAAGATTTGATTTGCATGAATCGTATAATAATCTACCCCTGCTTGTTGGATAATAAACTGATTTTGGAAACACGTATATTAATCTACGCCTATCCGTTTATTAATAAACACTTTGAATAAAATTATGAAATAAAAAACCCTTAAAACAGTTTTATATACCCTTTTTAAATTTATATACCCTTGCGATAACAAACCCTTCGACTCATATACCCTCCATAGGGTATATGACACACGTATAAACCCTTCAAGGGTTTATAGAAAAAAAAATCAAGGGCAAGCGTTCATTATTCTGCCCTTTTTTTTTACAGTGTAGTGTTAGGATATTATGACATCTCTGAAGAAAGATGGAGAATGATTTCTAACGTTGAAAATTGTTACTATTTATAGTCATTTTTGTTATTCGTAAGAAATAGACAATTGGTAAGCAATCAGCATCAAATGAATTTCATTTCTGTTTGTAAAATTTAACATCCCGCTTACTACATAAATTGTTTTTTTGATGGTTTAATTGACTGTTGTGCAAGCGATCGTAAAGATCCCAAGCATTCCTAAAAGTGACAAAAAGACAAATCTTGTTATATTCACTAGACCGCTAATTGATCTTTTATGTTGTCGTGTTACATCGTATATGCACCGACAACATTTATTGACGGTCTTTTATCTTTGGCATACATTTTTCATTAAAAAATAACGAAAATTCTATATTGAATATCTTCCTGTGATGGTAAGTAATTTTGATTATGAAAACAAATAAATCAACATATATTTAATTCATCGTTGTTGATAGAAAAAAAGAATCAAATAGTAAATGATAAAATTTCAATTTTGACAATACGAAAAAACTTCTATTTGCGTTAGCCTAGAACAAGCAGACGTGGTACACGTTTCTAATTAATGTTCATCATTGAAAGTATCGAAAAAAATATTTCAATCAGTAAAATGATCTCTAATCGCTGTTAGATCGAAAATCTCAATGAGAAAACATTTTGCTCTTCAACATTATCAAAATGAATAGTTACAAGTATTGTAGTTAAATGTGTTTGATTTAATGTAATCGTCATACAATAATCAATTCGTATCAACACTAACACTAGTCAAATGAAATAAGCGTGAGTAGTCCATATCCTTTTCGGATTCACATTATTCATGAATACGTAGATATCTAAAACGATTCATTTACCGTATAATTATATTTCAATTTAGTTAGACGTAGTGAATTACTGCATATGAAGAGTACGGTTGTTTTTTATTGCAGTTATATAATATGTTTTCCATCAGTGAATATCATTCTTCTTGTAATGCCTACAAATTAAAAATTGTGCTTGACTGATGACTACGCAGTTAGAGAATAAGTAATGTGAAAAATGTTGATATTAAAAATTACCACAGAAGGACAGTCCAATCTATCAGCTTCATTGTTGCAGCTTTCGACGCGAATTATCTACATAAAAACGTACTATAATCTTTATGAAACGACTCATTTTGTTTTTCATTGTCAGAAATGATATTTTCTATTTTTTATTCATTTACTAGTTTCTTCGTATTATGATATTTCAGTGTCGAGAAGTAAGTCGTCCGAAACAGAGTATATACGAGAGAGTATATTCTTAAATAAGTTTGTTGATTCATTAGAAATATTTTCTTTTATTCGTGAAGTTTTGATTATTCAGTGTCACTTAACATAGAAGAGACTAAACTATATGACGTGTACCATTTCGTGCAGTCAGTCATTCTCATGATCTGAACTTGAATCAATTGATTTTCAGTACTATCATGAAATTTAGCTATTTTTATTTTCTGTTTAGTTTTTTTTCGGTAAATATTCTTCAAATTATTTCATTAAATCTAGACAATGTAAGTACATTATTTTTATCTTCCATGGCATTATCAACATCGAAATAAACTTTCCATTTTAGAAGAAATTAAATATTTTCACTCTCCGTTAAAAAAAATATAAATGCTCAACAATGACGGATAAAACTGGAAAAACACAATCAATGCTAGCATACACATTGTTGTGAAGAATCAGCTGGCAAAAAAGAAGTCCATTAATTTATATTCTCTTGAGTTTATTGAATATTGAGAGTGCTGCTTACCGAAAAATGATATTGGGGAAAACGTAATGTAGTTTTATAGTGTGCATAAACAGATCGTTCTCATTGGAAAAGATAACATCAGCAACCTATTCATCATCTTAATTTTCAAAAGAAAAAGGAGAATTTTTAGAAAAAAATGAGTTCATTTTTTGCAACATGGTATTTGAATACACGTTATTTCGCATAGATTCGTACGATTTTGTCATCACTACATGTACTTAATTAGTAAAGATCATTTACCTCTTGGTAAGTTATAAAAAAAAAAAAATTTATTCGTGCAGATGCAGAGTACGAAATGATTATTCTCTCAACTCTTTTTATATCAGAAAGCTTGCGTATTACAAACTTACCAAGAGGTAAATGATCTATACGGATCAAAATACATGTTGCGATGAAGAAAATATGCAGGTTGATCGCGACATCGACTTGCCAGAGTAACACTTTCATTTATGAATCAAGAAAAATTGTAAGAGATTATGTTGAATAGAGAAACATTTGCGTGACAAAAAACTCGACTGTTAATGTGCACTGATGTATGAAGTTAACTGATTCAATGTTTCATTCGCAAAAAGGAACGATAATGTGAATTTCTCACAACATGAGTTTTTATAATCACCAGAAAAAGAAATCATGTATCCAGGTGAAAAGATGTCATTTGAACTTTTCTGATGCTAAATCACATACTATCGTACCAATAGTTTAGATCAATTAACTTGAGGGTGTAGGTGTTCTGAATGGCAATATTCATCCTAATTGAATTTTAAATTTCTTTCGAAAATGATAAAAGTAAACGATCAACTTGTTGATCATAACCATCTTGTTTTATATTAAAAAATAATAGATCAACATCAGCTTTGCTTGACAAACATAGTAAACCTTCACAACGTCGAGCACCGAATAAACGTAAACTATATTGAATATCTGCTGAAACAATGTGTGCTACTGGAATTGAAGATTTGTTGGCCATTCAATAATGATACGGATATATTCAGATCGTAGATTAAGATATTCAATGGATTTATTAAACTAAATGATCAAATAAAAATAGTATGTTGTATATTTAAGTCTTTTAATGCGCTTATAAGCATGATCTTATTACTATCGCGAATTCCCCCACTATCAGTAGAAAGAACGACTACACATAGTTTATCATAAACATGTATTGTTCGTGGTCCAACTGTAGCAAGTAAATCTAGCTCAGCAGGTCCCAAAGGAACGTTCTTTTGTAAAGCAAATTCACTCATTTGAATATCATCGTCAATATCTCTATACAAAACATAATATCTCTTGATTCAATGAAGATTTAGAAATAATACGAATCTTTTTTTCATCGAAATCATTTTGTTTAGTTGCATATCGTTCATGAACTTGTGTACCATCAATTTGAATAGCAACATTAACAGTATCGGATAATTTACCACCTAAACATTGACCTTCCACAAGTGATATATTCATGGGGGAAAAAGCTCATTCCGAGCCATTCGAATGGCTAGGAATTAGTGTCTTGAAGTAGTTCAAACTATGTAAAAACTTTAAAATTCATTAGAAACATGATTATCGTTATTGTCGAAGTACTCTGACTAAATGAAGCCTGTTGAAAATAGTATAATCGTTTTCCTTTTTTTATGAGTTATCAGAAAGTGAAATAAACAAATTTTGATTAGAAAATTTGTTAATAAATAGACAGACTAAACACTAAAACACTATGAAACTTTTAGCAATAATAAATATGTTCTTTTAAATATATTCCTTCAAAAAGTGAGTATATTTCGAAGAACACATTTCTTATTGCTAAAATTTTAATGGTGTCTTAGTGCTCAGTCGACCTATCTATTAAAAAAATTTCTGAGCAAAGTCCGATTATTTCACTTTCTGATAGCTCAAAAAAAAATCTGAAAAATGAGCATCATTTTCCAAGAAAGTGCTATGAATTCAAAGTCTTTTGCTATTTTTACTATAACATCGTGTAGTATCATGAGCAAAAGTTCATTGCAATCCATGGGGTTCACCTTGGGAAATTCACTATAGCCAGTATAATTTCACAAAAATGTACTTTTTCGATTGAATATGCATACATAGATCTATTAGTTATTGTAAAGAGAAAAATAGACAAAGTGTTTAGACAACTGATTGCAAGCATAAAGGAAAACAGATAGTAAAGAATTCGACTGGTCGCTCAGCTAGGTGGCTATCTAAATACTATTACTACTAAATGTATCTTTTTTTCCAATTCATTGAATACTATTGAAATCAAATTGAATGTAAAACATTTATGTGACTAGTCTGCTTTATATGATTTTTCTTATCCTTGAAAGTTACTGGAATATTACATAAAAATAGTCATTCAGTATGTACAAATGGGGATGATTTAGAATAATTCGGAATCACGGATATCGCAGGTTGCCAAGGTTAGATGAGAGCAAGACTTTCAATGACTTAAGTGATTGATCAGAGGATTCTTAGAAAAATAGTCAGAGTTAAGGAGAGTTTTCAATTTTTTTGAAAATTCATCATCAAAAAGATGCAATCACTTTGCTCAAGAAAAACAAAATGTTTTTCGGGGACCTAGAAATCAAATCCCTGCTGTACGTTTAGAGTAAAAGTACTCTACATCTCAAATGATTTTTTTTCCATTTCATGTATATTATTTACGTACTTGAATTCGGATAATGCGTAGTTTTCAATCAATGCAAATCTATTGATTTTCAATGATTAATACCACTACTTGTGAATATGGGTGTGGGTGTGGTTGAGTTAAGAATACAGTCACATCCACACACCCTAGTTTCAGTCTCTAATATTATTAACATTGAAGATGCGCATACTAGATCTGAAAGCCGTGTTTAAATTTCCATCGAAAACCTTGGATCGACACCCGAGAACTTTCGTTCGTTAGATTCTATATATCCTCATATTTGAGACACAGAAAACAAAGACTTTAGCAGAAGAACAGAACGAATAATAATCCTTTTAATTTTACTAAATAAATGAAATCTATTTAGAAAAAAACAACATTTTTCCTAGAACAACATTTTAGATTATAAATTTATCGTAAATGATCAAAAATGGTCTTGACACGAACATTGACCATTTGGATGAAAGTGATGAATACGATTAGCATTACGAGCAACAATATCACATTGTTCAATTTTTGCTATCACTTTTGTAAATTCATCTTAAATATTAAAAAACAAATGTTGACGATTGATTGAAATGAAAATAATAGAATATCTACTTACGACAATGACCACAAACGCGAAGATTTTTAACAACTTGAATAAATTTTGGAGCAGGTTCTTGAATCAAATTCAATGCGATTACCAATAGTTCACTATGATCACATAAAACAGATTCAATTGTTTCATTTTCGTTTAATGAACGAGCCATTGAAGATGAATCAAATATGAAACCATTTTCAATCGCTTTTGATTGTAAACGATCAATTTTAGCATAGATTTCAGTTGATTGTGGGTGAGAATAATCATGAGCTTTAAGATGCTAAAAATGAATCAACAAAGGACTTATGATTAAATATTAAATTTAAAAGAAACTACGTTACCACTATATGACCTTTTATTTCAGTCCATGATAATCCTACTTTTACTTTGACTCCCAATTCTTCTATTTGATTAGAGCGAAAGGTTTTAGCTTCTTCATGTTTGCCTAATGACGAATATATATTTGAAAGAAGGACTACACCGGCTGCAAGACTTTCTTTTACATTAGGAAATAAAGTTTTCATTTGTTTATATATTTGTTCAGATAAATTACTATTTCGATTATTACGTGCACCGGATAACAAAAACACTAATATAAAAATAAAGAATCTGATAAAACAACAATATAATATTATTAAAGTAATACTAACTATACATGACAATACTTGGTGTATTTGTCTTTTCATAATCTTCAATCAACTTTTGTGCTTCATCAAACATAAATAAACGACTTAAGCAATCAACCTTAAAAAGAAAA